AAATCAAATTGTATAAATTTAACATATATTCTAAAAATGAAGCATTACAAATTGACAGATGCAACGATAATCCATGTAGTATTGAGACGCATGTTTCGGTCTGAACAGGAAGAAAGAAAATATAGAATCCAATCGTATGCAGCACGATATCAAATATATCGAATCTAATATTTCACCACGATTGCTAAAGGATCAAAAATTGTCTGTTTTGTATAGTTTAGCGACATTTCTGAAGTTGTAGTCTCGTTCATTGATAAGCACAAATCGAACCTTAAAATTGGAAAAGACAATTAGTGCAATATTATTGATTTGAATTCGACGGCTCTCGTCACACTAAAATAGTTAGGTACATTTATTTTTTTCCAATGGGTTGTGCTCTTGATAAAGTTGAAAATGAAAATAAAGATTAAATTTTAAAGCTGGATGAAACAAGCAAAAGTATTTTCATTTTGTCGAAGAGATTTCAACAATTCAGTGAAGTTATTCAGTCACGAATGAGAATCAGAATGTATGCAATGTTTAAAAAACAACCGATTAAATTTCCACGAAAAATGTTAAAGAAAAAGAAAGCTGTGTTTAACAACGTATACACTTATCCGCGACGGATAAAGTAATGACACCTATCAAAGATAAAATATGTCAAATCAACAAAGGACGCACAAGAAAAAAAACTTCATGACACATAAAAGTTACACAACCAACTTCTACGTTCGAGTTCGAAATAAAAGGATGCGTTTTTACAGAAGTAAGTGATAGATTAAATTGACAGTAAGTTGTAGAAGAAATAAACGCTCTCGAGATCTTTCTAGTGTACATAGAGGTGTCTTTAGCTCTAGCATTTTTGTGAATTATATTCCTTTCACTGAGATCTCAATGAATAAATAGATTTATTACAAATACGAGATTTAGAAACTGATTCGGAAGGTTTTTTGTGCACGAAAATGTTCACAGAGAATATAGTGATTTGTGAAATGCCAGTTAAATATGTTCCCTTGAACTAGAATTTCATTCGGCACTTTTCCCGTTCAATGTAAATCATATTGACATATTATCGTTTTTTCTGCAGTATAGTACTCTCTTCATATATTGAAGCTCAAGTTCTATGAAATATTTTCCTATGATGAAAAATGACTTTTAACTAATTAGTACTGTATCTTTTTTTTCAGATCTAACAATGAATGATTTATCTGAAGGGAAAGTGCATGCCAGTTCTGTCAAATTAGAAGACAAGCGACCTAGCACACACAATATCACATGGCAACATCTCTGGTCATATGATGAATCACGAAATGCTCTTTCTCAATCATCATTTGCCGATATTCCCAATGAAATTCTTTTGCGCATATTTCAGTTACTTTCTATACAGGATCTATGTAATGTTTCATCTGTTTGTCGATTGTTCAAAATGATCGTCGATCAAGATAATTTATGGAAGTACAAATGCAATAGTGAGTGTTGTTCGTTACTGTTGATTGTATGTAAAATATTTACATTGAAAATCTATTAACTAGCAACAACAAGATTATACTCGAAATCATTCAAACAAATCTATATGAATTGGATGTATGAAAAATACTTACGTGACATACAATTACAAAAGATAGGAAGATGGACTAGGACAGGATGTGCCAACCATGGGACTATTCCTCCTTTATATCCTCTCCGTCCCATGAGTAAACATCAATTTGAAACCATCAGTGGATTTCTTCAACATCCAAACTTATCATCAGACATGTAAGACACATATTTACTATTTTTGAAATCAACAAGGTCCAGTTTTTCGAAATAAATTGTGATGCTGTTTAAAGAAAAACAAATGAGTCAGTCTCAGTTAGGCTTGTTGAAAAGTACAAATACGAAACTAATTAGTGACACAGCAAACAAAGACATGTTCTTTTGGTAGGATATAGCTGATTTCTATAAATAGGCAGCTAATGAGCTGTGTTGCTTAAACAGAATATTATGACTATACAAAGGATCTAAGTAACTTACTAGACGATAATCCATTTCTATTTATCAGAACTATAAAACTATCAGTTGATATTGCTAACAATGCTCATCAATTGCTGAGATTACTGGAAAAAGCAGTTCAATTTCAAGAACAATGGCAACAATCAACTATTCTCAAACAAATGATTACAAGATATTATCGTTTTATGCAACTAAAAGCATCTCATCCACCAAATCTTCTCCTCATCCCTACTCTTGACATTGAACTTGTTTGGCAAACTCATCTTCTACGACCAAAGATGTACAAAGTTGATTGTCTTCGTTTGTTTGGTCGAGTAATCGATCACTCATCACTGATGACTGAGGTTGAACAATTCTTCAAAGAACAAGCATAGCGAGATACTTGTCAATTGTATGAACAACATTTCGGTGAACAGTATTGTCCATTACCTCCAACCGATGGGAAACAAGGATTTATTTCAAATATTTCATTTCAAAATTACATGAGAAAGAGTATGGGCATTTACAGATATTCTTATTGGGATGATACATACTTTGAATTTTCATCACAATCACCAAAAGATTACGAAAATCCTTTCTCATTTACTGAAGCTGATATCATCATAGACATTCAATGGCTCGATATGTGCCAACAATTCATGTATGATGCATTGCGAAAAGTTCATGTTCAGGGTGGATATTTGTATGCACGAACATATATCGATCTTAGAGGTGGAGCAATGATAAGATTGAAAAAGTCCTACGAACGATTCTTGTACATGGCAACCAAATATCCACTCAAAGATGGCAGCGGTTTCTTTCCTCGAACATACGCAGTAGAGAAGAATAATCAGCAAAGAAAGAGAAACACTATCTATCTTTTTTCTAAATCGACAGCATATGGCACTCACATATGCAAGAACCATTGAAGTATGCAGCTGATTGTATTCGGATAGTTGGATATGTTATCGATCACGCTCCATGGTCAATGATCGAAGATGATGTGATGAAGAAAACACGTGAGCAAATGGAAGATATTTGGAAAGAAGAATTCAAAATTGATATCATGACAGATCATCTGTATAATACAGCTCATCGGGGTGCTGATTGGTGTGACGACTATTAAAACATTTATAGATTTTGTGTGTATTAAACTAATTTCTGAATCAAGCACTATTTTACTCAGATGTTTATGTCGATATTGAAAAACATTTTTTTCTCGTGAATCATTTCGTATGAATATATCATTGTTCCTTCGATTGTTCTGTGAAATCTTGATTGTAGTAAATACATCACTTGATGTAAAAAGCTTGTTCAACAATAGACTAATTTGTGTCGTAACAAAATCGTGACTTGATTTTCACACTATCGGTATTCCTTTGAAGAAAAACATACAGTATAATTCATGAACTATTGATTGATAAAACAAATGTTGTTTTTTATTGCTCCATCTATAAAATGCCAAGTATCTGTGAGTTAGATATGCTTCGAAAGTCTCACGATAACTCAGAGAATTATTCATACTTAGTGATGTAAGAAATCACAAAACTGTTAATGTGCATCTGAAAGGCAATCAAGAATAAAACTAATAAATACGTTGAGGGTTTGAGTGTATGAATGAACAGAAGACTCACACATCACATCCATTCCTTTGACTGAATAAGCTGTATAATATCACCATATAATAATGTGTGAGTTTTATTTTTATCGTGATGGGAAATAAATAAAAGCACACAAGCATGTATTTGCATGCTTTTTCTTTCATCGAAGAGATTTATTTCACAGTTGATGATTTGTTCGCTTTGTTTTTACTTCATCGAGTTACATACTTTTTGGAACAAAAAATATATACCTTTTTAGTAATCTATCACTCACCACAACATTCAAAATAAATGGTACTATATGCAATATGAATTCACTCATATTCATGTATATAGGGGGGCTTCGCGTGGGATGGAACAATCCCATGGGGTGAGACGGGAAGAAAATTTTTCAGGATCGTCCCATGCCATGAAAAAAATAAATTTTATATAAAGCAATTACTTTTCTGAGAATAATATGAAAGTTTTGCTATAGATTTCATACCCGTCTATTAGAGCAAAACAAATAAGAGATAAAAGCTCTATAAAATGAAATAAAGATTTTTGACGATTGAGATGTCTCACGTAACGACTTTTTTTCGTTCCATTCCGTCTCAGGCAGAGACCTAGTAAGCAAACTGTATATTATAATAATCATCGCTGAATATTCGATTTTTTTTTCGGCTTTCAAGATATAATTGTTCATTTTCTGAGTTATGAATATCTATCTATTCGAATGTGGGTGTGCGTGTGCGTGTCGGTGTGAGTGTTGCTGAGCAAATGATCAAAGCCCACACTCACACTCACACCCTTTTCAAAATTAATTCAGAAGAAATTTTTATATATCTTTTGGAATTAATCTTCAGTCGAATTCTATGTGCAGATTTTATCATTACCATTTGAAAAGATCTTTAACTGGATCGAAACGCGTCGTGGAAGTTATCTATTCTAAAACTCACCCTTATTTCCGAGCTTACCTGACGAGTTCCTTGAGCAAGGACGAAACGCGTCGCAAGTATTGCTTGGAATTATACATCTTCGAAGCTCACCCTCACGTGTCATAGTTTGCTAGACTCACCCTAATATAACTATATTTGTTTATACAAAATGATATTCTTTTTCGAATTCGTTTATATATTGAAAATGATGTAACTTATTTGTGATCTCCATAGATCATTCGAATAGTTACAGAGTCAAAACTATTTGAAGAGACCCTTTAACAAGGCTGAAACGCATCGTAGTTTAATAGACTCACCCTCATCCTCGTCGGCGAAATTAACTCTCAATTATTTTAATTGATTTATATCAATAAGAACAATGATTTATCGTTTCTCTTCGACATAAAGATCGATTGCTGAAAAGCAAGAGTTTGGATTAGCAAATTGATTTGTTTTTCATTTAGAAAAAGGTAGATCGATTTGTTTTCGACTGGCAAAGGTCATGAGAGAAAAACACCACAGTAAACGCACATCAATGTTTATAATCGCAAATATAGGTCTTGCTAGAGTCAATTGGAATAAAGAAACAAAACTTGGTTTGTTCACCAATATAACCATCAGCACCACGATGAAGAAGAGCAGCAAGCCGACCAATACGACCAGCGTCATGAGCATCATCAGCATCAGCGCGAAAAGCAACCCGACGACGAAGATCAGTAGTAGCAGCAGCATAATCAGCAGTAGCACCACGAAGACAAGCAGCAGCAGGAGCATGATTAACAAGACCAGCAGCACGATCACGAGCAAGAACAAGACCAACAACAACAAGAGCAACACCAGCAACACGACGAAGAAAACACCAAGAAAAACGCCGCCAAGAAGAAGAAGAACAACACCACTAAGACGAAAACGATCAGCAGCAATAGCACGAAGACGATCATCAAGACGATCAAGACTATCATCACGATCTTCTGCAGCAGCAAGACGATGATCAAGATCATCATCATCATAACTTTTATAGAGATACACGTGATTATTACGATGACAACGAGGACAATGTGGCATTTGTTGCATTGTTCCTTGCGAGTTACTCGATGGTAGCACTTGTGTCGATGTTGGCTTTGAGTTGTTCGAAGGTAGCAATCGTTCCATTGTTCCTTTCAAGCTGCTCAAAAATGGCATTTGTTTCGGTATTGGCTTCGAGTAGTTCGAGAGTGACATTTGTTCCGACGTTGGCTTCGAGATGCTCGATGCAGACATTTGTAATGATGCTAAATAAGAAAGTTCAATCATTTATAAATATATTAATCAACTCCAATTTTTGTAATGAATAACTACATAGAGAAGGCGAAATGTATGTCGTTTAAATTAGAGAATGGCATTAAACATATAGAGATGTTTTCGGATAAATAATCTTCAGCGTTCATAATATTTAGAAAATGTTCATTGGCGAAAGAACGTTCGCACTCCTCTATTTAGTTATATAAGAAATTAATTTTCAGAAAAGTGTATTCAATATCTTTTCAGCTGCCACGTATTTCATTGTTCTCTATCAAAATACTATGAATGTTTGTCAATATAGTTTTTTAGTTGTACAAATCTAAGTATCTTTTAAAGAAGAATAGACAGACCTAGCGAATGTATTGAATTCAAAATGCCCTATTTTCGGTATATCAAAGAATATTGATTAGACACACTACTGAGGACTGTCCTGGTCCATGAGTACGCACTATTTAGTGCATGTATATTTATAAAAAATAAAAAATTTAATTATCTTTTTTTTTATTTCTTTACCTGCTTTGGTTTGAAGTTTATCCAATTTGTCACCACGTTCTACTAGTAAATCAACAGTCTTTTTCATAGTATTTGTTGTCTAATATTAAAAATCCAATAAGAAATATTTATATTTTATATATACTTCGGCAACTTCTTCCCGTAATTGCTCAATACGTAATCGTGATAGTGATGCAGAACGAACACAACCTCCTTGGTGACAGAAATTTTATTGACCTGATGTTCTATAGATTTAAAAATAGTATCTTTTTCTAGTGACTGGTATATAAAAAAAAAAAGTTTTAAATAATAAAAAAAGGATGACTTTGTGTTTATTTACTGATTATTCATACAACTGTTATCAATGTATGACATGATGTTTTTATCTTGAATGACGCAGAAAAAAAATGAAACCATTAATCACTTGATTGTTAAGTTTTTTTAAAAACTATCTGGTAAACGTTTTTCAAAATAACTTTTACAAATTCGTAGATAATTAAGGATAGTAAAAAACGTTACCAGACAAACATATTTTATTGTTTTATATAGAAAACAGAAGTTGCTGCTTAATATCACAGCGCAAAAAACATTGTCCTTGAAAAATGCGTTTTCAAAATTGAAAGTTTCGCTCAAAAGTTCAGTATGGTATGATAAATACAAAAACATGGATCGATGCAACGTCCAACGTCACAAATTGGACGTTCGTATCTTGATTCATGTCTTGTCCGGTTAATTTTCTTTTCTGTATGACTACAAATGAAACATCGTCTTGTTGAAAGCTGCTTGTTTTCATTTGGAGGAATCAAAGATGGAAAATGCCGTCCAACTAATCGTGCTGGTGTAGGTTCACTTGACGGTCTTCCTATTCTGACTAAGTGTCCCGATAGATTATTCTGCAAAGGACGGGGATGCATAAGAACGCATTTTGGTCCCTTTTGATTTTCATCACTAAAGTCAGTTGATTCATAGATAAATCGATAGATTACGCATAACTAATCATTTTAATATTAAATTCGACGTTTTTCCATAAAATTTTAGGTGCCATTGGGGTCTATTATTCATCATACTATCGTCCATTAATTTACCAATAATACTCTTTGATATGTGACTAATCATTTGAATTGATCACAGGGTGAGTGGAGCTACCATAATGTTAATATTGCACTTCACCAATGAGGATCATCACATGGTCACGAATCAATTCTCAAAAGAATCGACATACAGTTAATTCTATACTGTTACCATATCAGACTTTGTTATTCATCAATTAATATATGAATTGTTTTGATTACAAAAAAAAACTTCTAATATGTAAGTGGATTACAAGATTAAAAATGGATATTAATAATAACAAAACTGGATTATTAATAGAAAGAGACAACATGGAAACTTTCCTAAAACATAGAGAAATGATGTTATATACAAGCAATAACAAAAAAATAAACTAACGATATAACGCATATCTTGCCGTAAATCAAAAGCATTAGAGTCAACGATATATTAAACGAGAAAACGAAAAACTTTGACATTGAATGACATAAAAATAAAGAAGTATGTGTATTGAAGAAACAATATATCTTGAGGGAACAACTATGATCATAGAGAAAAAGAATCGTTCTCAACAAGTTGGAAGCCAACGATTGAGGGTATGGGTGAGTATAGAATTTAGTGCTTGCCACGACGTGTTTCGAACCTTGCTCAAAGATTCATCTTCAGGTGGCTTAAATATTCATTCTGCATAGGATAAGATATCAGAATTTGAGCTACTACGAGGCGGTTTTCTTTTTTTTTATTCAATAAGTATTCGATTTAAGAAAAGTATAATAAAAGAAAACAATGTGTCAAACATGAATAACGGGTGGTACAAAAGTTCTCGGAAAAATGACACTTCATTTTTTGTCCACTAAAATATGTTTTATAAAAATAAAAGATATCTATTCGGAGTCTACGTTGAAAGCGCTTTCTAACTGTATATTCAAAAAATTTCTAATATGTCTTGTCTTTGAGTAACGGCCACGTCCTTAAATGATACTAAAATATACTCTGTAAAAAGCAACTCACAATAATTGCGGCAGAAGGAACCGATATTTCAGTATTTTTCGAATATCTTCTATGCGTTCCGTCATATATTGTAGCTCTTTTTCCCATTATATTCGTCGTTTAATTCTCTACGAACCCGGCAGAAAATACTGGCTTTGCTTAAAGATCGGCTCCTTCTGGCATAGTCATTGTGGGTTGTTTTTTTTTACAGCTGTAGTACATTTTAGTGTCATCTAAAGACGTGATCGTTACTCAAAGGCAAGACATTCTAGAAATTTTTTTGAACATACAGTTAGATAGCACTTTCAACGTAGATTCTGAATAGATATTTTTTATTTTGTCAAAACGTGTTATGGTGTGGTCGATGAGAAGTGAAACAATATTTTCCGGGAACTTATGCAACACCCTTTAACTCTACAATGAACGTGGAGGAAGAAGAAGACGTTGAGTTGAATCGACATGTTAATATAGAGAAAAGAATTAGAGCAGATTATTTGTTACTTATCCAACGTGATTATGTTGGTCGTGGTTGTTGCGTCGGTAGACACGATGTTAATTAACATTTCTCGTGGTGGTTTTTTCTTAACGAGAAACTGTTGTATAGACTTGTTGTTTCGTGTTCCTATGATCAGACGAACATCGTTCATTGCTGAACCTTTATATATGTAGTATTTTTCCCATAGCCGAAGTAATTCTCGCCTAAATTCCAATATTGGCCCACTTTCGAACGTGAAATGTACAAGAATTTTCTGTTTATCCCGATTTTTTGGTTTCTGATATTGTTCTTGTTCTATTTCTTGTTGTTTCTGTCGTCGGGCTGATCGAGCAATTAAATTTTGATGTAATAATTGGTAGACACTGTCATCTTATTGTTCCATGATCTTGGGTATGGATGTGGGTGTGGGTGTGAATTTGTGCCTGTTGCATGTCTCTGTCGACATTTACATCCACATCCATATCCTATTGACAACAGGATGTTTGACTAGACTGTGAACAAAGAAATACTTTTATAGAGGGAAGAATTAATTTTTTATTTTAATGTGACATATCATCAAAATTTAAACAGAATTTTTTTCTCTTTCATAAAAAAGCAAATAAGCATCACGGCTGATAACACGATTGGCGTTGTGGATCAACGTAACACTTGTATCATTGAAACAATACCATTCATCACTTAAGTTATGCTTAGCATATGTATAGTAGTGACCGCCTAACAGAGAGCCTATGTGAAGACAAACAGCAATTAAATTGTATCGAAACTTTTTATTTGTTTGGCCAGCAGTAACTTCGAGCTGGAAAGGATATTGGACCATAGTATTGATTTTTGATTGTGAATTCGAATCATAATGGAAGCGTTTTAGTTGAAAAATGAGAACAGGCGGAATGCTTTGAAGTTTCATGGATTTAATTGCTTGAGAAAGTCTTTTGCATCCTGAGCAATACCATTCACTGTTCTCCGTGAATTTCCGCCCGACAAACAAATTCGAAATACAAGACTCGAGCGTCGCTGTATCGACGGTTATTGCCATATAATTTTGATGATGATATATTGGATGAATAAATTCGACCTTTGTAAACTTATGGAAAATAATGACAAAAGTTGTATCTAATTTAATTTTTGAAGAGTACTCAAATTCGATTTCTTTGGATGATCCATCACGATGAAAGATTTGATACCTTGAATCAGGAAAGAGACTTGAAATGATCGTTGCAATCTGTTGACTTATTTCTCTGTAGTTCAATGCATTTTTCGATACGGTTATGTAAATAGGATGATAGAGATATTCGTTCGGGTTGCTTTTATGATGAAGTAGACATTTAAAATAGGCTATTCTTATATCTTTGGGAATTTCGTAAAAAACAATACAACAATTACACAGAGTGCTGATACAACAAGTTTTTAGACATCTGCTACTGATTTCGTTCTTCTTTGTAATTTCATGTGCTACGATCTGAGAATGATTAGAATTCGTCTGAGGATTGAGCTTCTCGAATCGATTAATTAAATCTTGAATCTTGTCATACTGTTTTACTTCTAGCTGACAATCAATTGTTTTGCCATTTAACAATATGTAATGAAAGTCGAATTTGTTCTGTTGTTCTTTGATCGGTTGAACTATTGACAACGCTATGTAATTATAAAACTCCTGATATTCTTTTACCATCGAACAGCATATGCATTTGATATTCGATTGTATATTAACATGAAACCATTTAGAAATAATAGATGATTGATTAACATTTTTTTTCAAATCTTCATCTAATATATCGAGCAGAACGATAAGAAATTCATGAGCATCTTGTGGATAGCTGCTTTTAAATCGTGATGCATAACAGCCAACTTCTTTCTTCAATTGTGACGGATTTGCGTAATATTCTTCTGCTGTCCACATGTAGATCAAAAGGTCACCAAATAGTTTAGCTACGTTTCCATGACTAACATCTGAATTATGCTTGTTCGGATCGATTTTATATTCATTCGACACAAAATAATCTTTTAAATCGTTGACATTGCTCAAACATTGAATAACACTATTCATGTAGCAGGTGTTACCAATATTTGTTAAACCACATAGGCCATGACGTTTATTCCCTATTAGTGTATTTGATTTCGAGACAGATGAATAAGATACACATGAGAGTGGTTTGATAGTTGAATCACTATTCTGAAGTGAATTATCAATCAGTTTTCGTTTCGAAGTAGATATATCGTATGGCTTGAAAATCTCTTTAGATTCATCCTGGCCAGGTTTAGTTACAGCAGCAGCCAATGATCCGCATATTGCCTGAGACTGTAAAGTTCTTTCTTGCATTGAAAGAGATTTTACATTTTGTATTTTCGTGTATTCTGTGCTAAATTGACTTAACGTAGATGGAATTTCCCACATAAGTATGCCATCAATGTTAATTATTTGTGCATCAATTTTGTAGATCGATTTGAAATAGTCTCGGCACTTGTGGAAAACATATGCGACTATAAAAATTAGATGTAAGCATATGTAAAAATATTTGAATGCAAATCAAACTCACGAATGGGAAATTCACAATGTTTTCGAAGATTTTTCGAAGCCTTCAGACCTATTAGAACAAGTTCATTATCATCAGAATACTTGCATCTTTGACATAAATGATGATTTGACAAATAATTAGTTATATACTCATCATAGTGTTTAGTACAAATCCATTTGAATTGCGATAGAGGATTCGATCGAGTTTTGATTAATTCAAATAGAGTTACTCTTTCTTCACCAATTTGGGAGTAAGTTTTACACAGTTCACCCGCTGAATATAACTGATTATCTCCCGAATATGAACCACATGCAAATGGATAACGATAGTACAGTAGACAATCTTGATATTTTTCCATCTATGATGACTAAAAAATAGTTTTACAATCTGAAAATAAAACTGTCGATCACTTTAAAATTTTTTTATCTTATTTTAAAATGTTCTTAGAAGCATTTTAAAAATTCGTGTATATTTCCGGTTTAAAAACAAAGAAAACTCATCTTCGTTGATACAGAAGAATATATGCATTTTGATCGATAACACTCTGTTTCCTAAGAGTGACAGATGAATCATTATAACAGTACCATTGGCTACTAGGTTCATTTTTGGCATATGAAAAATAGTGACCACCAAAAAGTGAACCATTGTGAAGACAAACAGCAATTAAATCATAATTGAACTCTTGCTGTTCGTGAGCATTAACCATAAGCGGAGCAAGGTTTAGTTCAAGTGGATATTCAACAAATTGATTGATCTTTTTCGCCAATCGACTATTATAATTGAATCGTTTGATTTGCAAAATTAACACTGATGGTAGTTCGTATAAATGCATTTCTTCCTTGCATTGACGCATTATGCCACACTGAGAACAGAACCATTCACTGTTCATGGAAGGCATCTGTACGACAGACAAATTAGCAAGGCATTGTGTGATGGTAAGCGCATTTTTCATTGGTATTGTGAGCGGTAAATATGTGAATATATCTTCTACTTGTTTCACATGGTAGCTATTCGTCGTGCATGTAATCGTTGAAATTGTTCAACCATGAAAAATTTTCGATATTGGTGACAAATCACTATTGTCATCCTTCAAATCTTCATGAAGTGCATCCAAAAGAAAATGCATAAATTCATGTGTATCTTGTTGAGCAAATCCAGTGAATATTTCAGCAAAGTTGGCCATACTTCTCTCTAGTTGTTGTAGTATTATACTATTTTTATTCGCTAACCACATGTCAGACATAAGTTCACCATAAACTTTAGCCACTTGTCCTTGAGTACCCAATAGATTTTTATCATTGATCTGTTTTTGCCAACCATTGGATAGAAAGAAGTTTTTCAGCTGTGGAACATTACTCAAACATTGTATAGCACTGTTCATAAAGCATGTATTACCGAGATTTTGAAGACCACAGAGACCACGTCGATCTATTGGTGTGAAAGAAATTTAGTTGTTTTCTTTACTTTTTAATGAACTCTACCTTGTTGCTTTCTACGATTATCAATAACTGTTGTAGAGTCAGATAGAATTTTTCTTTTCTGCGATATCTCACGCACCAAATTATAAGTAACTTCATGAAAGCCATAAAATTCAATGTCAGATTGTGACGATTGAGAAATACATGACTGGAACACATCTAACCCAACGTTTGGTTGTTGTTGGCAATTTGAATCTAGAACAACCAATAATATTGATATGTGTTAATTTTTCTTTCAAGTTAATGTGTTTTATTCATAAAAATTCCTCATTTCAGGATTTGGTGAGATTAAATAATAGTTAATTTTGTGAAAAAACTTCTATAAACTGATCAAAATATGTCATAGTCTCTGTTTCTTTGTTCATTAGTGACATGTCTTCAACATTTTCTCAATATTTAATAGTTAGCGCCGTGTGTAAGATGGTTAATATATTTTTTCTAATTTGAATTCAATGTCTTCTATAAATACAAGTTTTTCTTATATAAAATATCAAATCAATTAAAGAATCACTCAGACTTCTGTTATCATATTCTTGCACACAAAAGAATCGACTAATCAAAACAAAAGAAATAACTTTTCCTTAGACATCTAATTATGAAAAAATAAAACAAGATTTTGATCGACACAAATAATTTATCTACTTGAAAAACATTTTAATATGCATTTCTAATTCTTACCTAATATTGATGGTAAACATGGTAAACGTTCAATGTTTTCACAATTAGGTACAGATGATATTGTTCGACGACGACCAATGCAATCATCACACTGATATGGACAATGGATGAGTCGAAGGATTCGAAAGAGAAATCGTACTAAATACAAACAAAATGAACTCTTACTACAAATCACTATAATAAAAAATGTGAAACACGGTTGTATTTATTCTTTTTATTCACTAGAAGATTATTTTATTCTACCTATTTTAAATAAACTCCTTCATGGAGCATTACTTAAGCGTCTGTGTATGACGAGCAGGAGGAGGATTGGTTGTGCACATGTCTACCGCATGAGCCGAAAAACACATGTAACCTTTTTTTTACACATATACAAATTATAAGAATATTCAGAAAATTTTCTGTCATATCAGACTTTGTAGAGTTTTTCGTTGATCATTTTGGTAAAAAAAACTTTTTGAATTTCATTGAATAATGATGATGTTATAGTGAAAATACTAAACACTGTAAAATACGTTAAAATACGATTTTTTTCTGATAAATAAACATAAAAAGTCGATTCACATATCGCCCAAATGGTTACATTTTGGAGAAGTATAACATAGTAGGTTTTGTAGAGAAAAGTATCACATAGAAAGTTTTGTGGAGCAAACTTTCCTTCACAAAACTTACTATGTCATACTTCTCCAAAATGTAATCATTTTGAGATATGTGAATCGACTTTTTATGTTTATTTATCAGAAAAAAAATCGCATTTTAACCTATTTTGCAGTATTTAGTATTTTCACTATAACATCATCATTATTCAATGAAATTCAAAACGTTTTTTTATGAAAATGATCAGCGAAAAAATTCTACAAAGTTTGATATGAAAGAAAATTTTCTGAATACTCTTATAATTTGTATATGTGTAAAAAATAAAAATGTACATGCTTTTTTTCGACCCTCACTATACCTTATACACTTTACCATTCTTTCTAGATTGTGTTTCACAACATCAGTCTTTTGAAAAATAATACTAATATATTGTACGAACTGTATCTGTTATCAATGGATGTCAATGGTTCATGGAAAACAAAGATGAATTGATCTGCCAGCCATTTTATGATTGCTTGTTGAGTGTAATGACATATTGAAAGCATTGTTTTTCTCGATGTTGATAGTGACTCATATTGTTGTATTTCAGCATTTTATAATGTTATGTTTTTTCTACCAAGTTAGTAATATAACAGGTTAAAGCACACAAGTTTCTATAGGATTCTTCCACTTTACTCTTTTTTTGACTATTCTCCACCTAATGATAAGATCGGGTAAAAAGAGAGTTATCACTGCATGTCTCATACATATCTATCAGTGTCAACACGAATATTTGCATTATATTCAAGTAGTAAATATGTAACAGAACAAAATAGAAGTCTAATGTATGATAAGTAATATTGACTTGGATCTTTCCGAAAAGCACTGGGAAAAAAAGCTGCAAACTTGATGAATAAATATCGTAACACCCTAGTATCGAGCATATTTTAGCAGAGAAACGAAACAAGCAATCAAATTCATTGGACACAAGACATATTCAACTGCATTTGAAACGAATTACGCTGGAAAATGTCAACTATCAATATTATCTTCGAAACGCAAACTGATCTTTTAATATGTGGTGCGTTGCCAGTTAACTTTGGACTATCCGATATGGTCCAGTTGGTTCAAAGGAAAATGGACGATTCCAATGCTCATGAAACGATGCGTTTTATTTGTGGTAGTAAACAATTAATATTGAATGATGAAATAGCTTTTAATGCTCAGAAGAAACTTATCACCAACAATGTTACTATTCGTGTTGCCAGACGGATGATTAGAGGCTATCTATCAGCAAATGCTCTAATTCAAAAAATTCAAACCGATGCCGATACAGCAATCGAGACATTCGTCAAGCAGACTAACGCCCAGTGTCCAATTTGTGTGACGCAATCGTGCACGGTATATAACTTTAAGTGCAACTTATGCACCAAAGTCAATCAAGTGTGCAAGGCGTGCTTTTTGAAAGTGTTTCGCTCGAATGACTTGATCTTTAAATGTCTTAACTGTGCAAAAAGTATCGACAACAAACATCTGTTCGTCTCTGCACCCGATATCTTGAAGTCAATGAAAATGCTTGCCGATGTACGCGAAATGCAGCGTAATATTGATTGTCAAATTTGTCCATGTGGAGAATTCCAAGTGAGTTCATTAAGGCCTCCCTCCCACTCAAAAAAACTCAATTTTCGCCAAAATTTTCGAAATTGAAATAAATACATGGAAAGATAGCCCGTCTTCAGATCTTTCAGAAACAACATTGGCTTTTCTTTGGCATCTCTTTTTCGGTCAAGATTTGCGATGATTTTCATTGACCTCTTCTTGAAAAATATGCTTATTTTTAAAAAAAACGAAAAATGTTTTACGTTTTTTCTCGGTTTATGATTTGTCGATTTTGCTTCCAAGATTTCTCGGTACAGGCTCTGTCAATATATTTATTTTTTTTTCTTTGAAAGGGCGTGTCGAGATGCAGGACACCACAGAGTCCTTTTTTAACTAAGCTTTGTTTTTTGTTATGTATACAGACATTTATGTAACTAGACACCCATTTTCGGCGCGTTTTTTGAGGCATTGAACTTGTAATCCCCTTTTTTTGCTAAAAGAGTAGGAATTTAAAAAAAAGGACTCTGTGATGCCCTGCATCCTGAGATGCTCTTTCAAACAAAAAAAATTAAATATATTGACAGAACCCGAACCGAGAAATCTTGGAAGCAATATGAGTTATTTTTGACTCTCGTTTGGTTCATATCTCTATCAAACGAGATGGGATCGAGCTGAAAATTTTACCATAGACTCCTTACTTCAGCCCCAATATATGCTTCGAATTTCAGCCCATTTGGGCGTACCTGGACTGAGATCGGTTTTGGAGTGGGAGAGGCCTTAAATTGTAGTTCTATTATCGAAGATGGAAAGTCAAAAACTTATTGCTCACCTATCTTTCATGTTTTTAGGTCAATGATAATCTCTTCAGCAAGCAGTTTTGTCAGAAATGCAAACGTTGGTACTGTTTTTTTTGTAATCAAACATGGAATGAGTTTTTGATGAAGAATGATAAGTTTACATGCCATAGTAATTGTGACTATGAAAATCGAATTAGTTTTGAAATGATTAGCATCAATCCTGCATATGCTATGCCAGAATTGTAAACAATACCAAATCGACGTTGCTGTCCAAAATGCTTTCAAGTTGGTGCTTATGGTGGCAAATGCCAGATGCATACGTGTTTGAACTGCAACCTTATGTTTTGTTTTGTCTGCTTGCGTGAATCACATGTTTGCAGTAGCGATAGACAACATTGTATGCCCGTCCGAACACAAAACTATAGCATGTTTCCAAAAAGCACGGATCCATGATGGAAACAGAACTATTAATTTTAATCAAGATCATAAAAACTCGATTTTTTTAATGTTTTGTATTTGTTCAATCGTTATTAACACAATAAAAATTCGCATGTGAATTTTCTAGTTTTTGGAACTCACATATATTTTTGAAGAAAACAGTGAGTGTAAGTTTTACTTTGAGGTTTTTCGGCTCCCTTCTCCCATCTCTTCCCATTATAGACAGTCTCATGATTACAAACATTTGCACCCGCGCTCCTACCATTACACACAGCTGCCGCCTTCCTCTCCATTACAGACCGTTGCTTCCCGTTATTTACAGACATTAGCAACTGAAAAATCAAATTTTTCAGTTTACATATTTTTTGAATTTGTACAGCCAGGCTAACGAAGCTATGTGAATTCCACATTTCAGCACCAGGCAGCTGCCATGACAAGGATATGATTGAGTGTGGGTGTGGGATGGGTGTGGATGTGGCTGTGGCTGTGGGTGATAATCTACTTTTCGCAATCATCCATACACACTCACACATCCATCCGCACCGACACCCCACACCCACCCTCGCCGTTTTCATATTTTATCTATACTCTGTAAATGTAACCATTTGATAAGGGAGAGGTGCACATATATCAGTGTTTCATAATAGTTTTTTTCTCACTCTTATTCAGTACTAAGAATGGTTAAAAAGATTCTCATCACCGGTGCATCCGGTCTCATTGCTGGTATACTAATTAAACATCTATCAAAAAATTCTAACTATGATATTTATGGAATCGACAAACATATTGGATTGTCGGCACGTTATCAGCTTGAAAATACACCAACAGCCAATATTACCATCAAAAGAAAAGTTTTATGTATGTGATATCACTGATGAAAATCAACTTTCATGTATTATCCAAGAAAATCAAATTAATATTATTATTCATCTAGCAGGACTTTTAGAAACAGATACAGTGGAAAAAATGAATCATATTAATTGTTATGGTACAAAAATTCTATTTGATACAGCAACAAAGCAAGAGCATGTTGAAATGATTATTTATGCTAGTTCAGGCACGACTGTTTTCGGCTATTTAGAAATTGAGCCTTATTCATCATTAGCAAAAAAATATTCAACCAAAACAATTATTGAAAAAGATAACAGTCAATGATCCTCCGATACCATCACATTTCGATCCATCATTTGAAGCGTATTCTAATAGTAAAATATATGGTGAAGAATTAGCTAGACAATACTCATTAATTGAAACTATAAATGTTAAATTTATTTGTGCAAGATTCGGTTGGATAAGTACAACCGATGATATAACATCTGATTTGTATGGTTGGTCAGATAAATCATTATGGTGTAGTCATCGTGATTTATGTCAATTTATTAATCGAGTATTAGAGAAACAATCGATATTGAAAATGTTTGCAATTTATTTCGTTTGTTCAAATAATGATTATTGTTGGGTTGATATGGATAATTGCCGACAAGATTAAAATTATGAGCCACAAGATGGTGCTAAATGGAAGACGACATAAATGAAAATGTGCATGTCTCTGCAACTTTTTGTTCGCTGTACTTTCTAGAACAGGACCTTTTAGTGATAAAAACTCATTTTCTGAAACACATCAAGTGTTTACCTTCAAGAAAAAAAGATGTTGATAGACTAATCAAAGTCTAGAGTTGCTAGCAGTAAGCTTTTATATCAATTTTTGATAGATATAATCTATAACTATACACTGATTCCACAATAGCACTATATTTTCACCGTAATGACAGTACTCAAATTTTCTCATCTGCGTTATTCCTCTACATCTGAGCTTATATGAATTATACAATTTGTTTCAAGAATGAATTCATAAATGAAGTCTGGATGGTATAAATTTGACAACTATTTCTCGAACCATTAACATCTCGATCGTGTTATATCATATAGTAAACGTTTCTGTAATATTCGCATCTTGCTATAATATTCCACTATTTTTAGAATAAAATACTTAGTTTGATCAATTTCGGTTCACAGTAGAATGGATCCTGAAGCTTTCCTGAGCTATAGACCAAATAGAACTATTTTTATTTGTATAGTTTATTAACAGAAAATTTCTATCGTCACGCACATGCCAAATTAAAAAATTTCATGAGAACTATAAAACGCTTATAAGATTTCCGAAACTCAGATACATCACCAGTAACGAAAGAATTATATTGATTACACTAACTATAGGATGTTGGTATCAAATGATTCTAGACGAGTCAAGCCATATTAAGAGTAGTTACATGATTATGTTAGTTGATAAAGTAAACAACAAGATTGCAGTCTGACATTAAAAGTGTAATTAGTAGAAGGTACGTTAATGTGAAACAAATAATCGAGCTTTATAGAACTAAAACTGATTACGAGATATTTACGAATGCTATCTGAGGTAATAAAAGTATCAGTATTTACTTAGCGTGGTTTGACGAACTGACATTTTCAGAATCAACACTTACTATAAATTGAAATCAGGCAGCACAAAGAGAATATACTTTTTTCCAGCCTACTGTATATAATATGGATGTGGTTGTAGATAAAGGAAGACCCACACTCCAACAGAATGAAAAACTGCTTTTCTTTTTTTTTGTTGCGATCCTAATTCTGAATGTTGCTCGTCATTTTTCGAGGAAAAATCGATAGTAGTTCATCGACGAAAGCTACTTTATTTTGCTTATTTTTCTTTTCCTTATATCGACAGTTTCCGAAGACGTTATAGCAACAACAGAATGAAAAGAACTCCTTTGCTTTTGTTTTTTGTTTTGATTTAGCTATTCCAAGTATTGTTTGTCATTTTTCTGACAAAGACCAACAATATTAGTTTTGTTTCATTTTTCTCTTTGATCGTTTGGTTGTCCAGAGTCTGATCGCACATTTTCCCCACTTCTCATGTAGAGATTGACAAGTCTGGTCTAGATTATCTTTTTTGTCTTTGTATCTTTCTTCAGATAGTTGGCAACGATTTTACAGAAACGATCGAATAAGAATTTTTTTCTTTCTTTTCCTCTGTTTGATGCTTCTGTATCTTGTCATCAGATTCCGAGGAAAATAATAGCAGTTCCCATAGGCTTATCAGCTGTTGGAGTTCGCCGCTAAAGGTCTATAGGGTGTGGGTGTGAGTGTGTAATGAATAATGCATTTACACCCACCCACACCCTCATAGTGTTTTTTCTTCAATGCGTCACTGAATCACTCACCTTTTCACATCTCTACATTTTTCTTGATCTATTGTGTTTCATCTTTTCTTGGGCATCACCATTCATTTCTTGTTTATGATTTTTTCAATAAATCATTAAATCTGCATTCGGTCTCAACTCATCTCATCACAGTTTCATCATCCAGACCCTCACAGTGACATCTGAAATTTTACCCAGTTGCATTTCAGGGAGTTCAAAAATTAAAATTTCGAAGGACTATTCTTTGTTAAAAA